TAGAGTCTATAATCCGGCGCCAACACATCAGAGAATAAAAGTGCCCTTACAATGGCCATGATTTATTCGAGTTTATCGGATGTATTTTTTATGACATAACAAGGAGAACCCGAGCGTGTGGCCGTCCAAGTTCATTATAAATGCTCACGTTTTTACAAAAACATTTTAAAATGCTTCACTAAATAAAAGGGGGAGATTAGTGACACTTTCTAACGTATAATGAGGATAATCCTACTTCCTGTTGTGACAAATTGCCAGTTGCCACCCTGCTCGTCGTGATTTTCGTTTAATTTATTATTTATTGTGGAGTCGAAACATTATTGTACGTTATGAATAATCTAGTATTTTTACTGTAACTGTGCTCTTCTGAATTGCAATTGTTTTATGTGAGCGCGTCCTAGCTTTAGCTAAAAAGCATGGTTGCATCAGTTCAGTTTAAAATCGTCCGCATCGTAAACAAAAATGGCTATTCTAATCTAATGAATGATATTTTTAGTATTTTACTTCAAACGGGTCCCTAACTGAAGGTAAAATAAATGTATAAACATTAAAAAAATAGAAACAAAATATTACCTCATACATAATTTAAACAGTACAAATAAGAGAAAATATAAAATAATTAGACGCAATGGTATAAAATATCTCAAAAAAAATTAACAATACATTTCTCAATTTTGCCGCTATGCAGAATTTCTACTGCAAGTCGATACGAATGTTTCTTCTTCATTCTTCTTCTTCGACATATTAAATACATAAAAGTATATTTGATTTTATATGGAATGCTAGCTTTCGCCAGCGGCTTCGCCCGCGTGGCCCTAGGGAAATGTTTAGTGGGATAAAAAGTATCCTATTATCTAAGTCAGCTAATACCCTATCTGTATACCAAATATCATCACAATCTGTTCAGTAGTTTCGGCGTGATTGACGTACAAACATCCAAACATCTAAACATCCAACAAAGAAATTTTCACATTTATGATATTAATAGGATAAGTCCCTCATCAATGAATGTCTATTGGTAAACACTGCGTTAGGTCTGCTTAATAGTTCTTGAGAATATCACATTAAGACGAACAGACGCGATATATATTTAAAGAACATTTAAAGCAACAATAACACCAGTACTTTTGTTAGCACTAATAGAATGTGTTCGAAAACATTTTGATGTTCCATTAATTTCTAAATAAGTTATTAAATATCTACAAAATTTCGTTATTTACTAATGAGCGCGCACATATTTCATCATAACTTTTGTTCCAAGTCTTTAAAACTAATAAGCAAATAGATAATTATGAATCACACATAATGATCTCGCTATTGTGTTAATGCTATTTCGATGTTTGTGAAAGTAATACTGGTTAATTGTTCATTAACTAGTTAGCAATAGTAGTATATTTGGCGACTAAGGAAATATTTGGAATTTTTAAGCTATTACAAACGATGTTATGATTTAAAGAAAGATGTTACACATATTATATGTGAATTTGTAGAAAAGTGTTCGGTGAGTTTTCTCAAGCATATTTTTTATTGTTATTACTACGTTTCAGGACTCACATAATACTGATGGATTAATAATATTAGACCATCTACGAAACCGGCTATCTTTCAATATAAAAACTATTTTTTTATTGTGTGTAGTATTATTAATAAAGTATTTATTTCACAAAATAAAAGTGCGCTATTTTTTTGTCCATCAGTATATTTTTTCCAATGGTCATTTTTTATCTCGATTATTTCATATTATTTTTATTAGTTTACTTAATATTATAAAAGAAGTTAAACTAAATATTATAAAAGAAAAAAGATTTAATTTCAAACTAGATTTAGTTTTAATATTCTCTCGAACAGCATTTTCAATTTTGTAGTAATTCATTTATTAAATACTAAGAAAAGGAAAGTAAATTTATTATTGATTAGGTATAATTATTTGATAACGGGTGACTAAGAACCAAATAAGGACAAACCTAAATAAAAATAAGAAAATTATTATTTAGTTTATACAATAGCGTATTATTAATTTTTAAAACAATAGGTATTAAGTATAGGTACACTAGCAGATAAGCACCGCGACCTGCGAACGTTGTTGTTAAGCAACTTCCGCAAGGATCGTTCACAGGATGGGTAATCAAAAAATTATTATCTCGAGCTACTCCGTGCTTCGGAAGGCACGTCAAGCCGTTGGTACCGGCTGTATTTGCAGTTTTTGATATCCTCCAATCCGTATCGGGCCTACGTGATGGCCCACCTCCTTAACCAACTGTGAACCCTCGCCTAATAAAGAGTTCCGATCGAGCAACAAATTAACAATCCTACTTTATATTACTTAAGCTCAAATCTCATGACGATATTCTATATTAAAAATAACGAGAAAAGTTCTATTTCCTAATTATTCTAGTTACCCGTCTGTTACATTAGAATTTAAACGGTCATTAAAAAAACCTTAAACTCCATTCAAGTGCCGAAATCCTGAATAATAAACTTAATTATTGTTTTATTACGGCCAATATAAAATTTGGAGGGATACATTATGACGTCATAAATAAATTTTACGACCCCCGTGTCATTGTGTGGACGTTAATAGTTCAACGTACCTGTCCACTTTGATCGACAAAACGACTCACTTGTCAAAATAATAAAAGTGACATGTCGAAATGCGACGGTGGACGACCCTAGACAAATACCGGCACACCGGGAGCGGATTAAGAACGAGTTTGTTGTAACCCTATATTTTTTAAGAACATCACTTCCGGCTTTAACGTTTTTTTCGTTTCTATTCCGTTGTAATAAGATTTATATTAGCATAGTCGTTTGCTTTACAAAATATAGGTGACAAAATAGTTATAAATAAAGAAAACAGTTATAAGTGTTATTGTTTGATAGGCAGCTAGTTACGATCCTTAAGAATATGTGACTTCATTTTTTTCACCGGTTGGGTTGCTTGAATGAGAAATTAATTGAAGGGCATTTCGAAAGGGTTCTAGTTGTTAGGGAGAGTGTCATCTATTTTTTTTGTAATTTTTAATAACAATGAAGGTGATTCGCATCGGGTGTCGTTCGCGGAGACAGGAAACGAATAGTTACAGACCCTTTTTGGTTTTATTTTAGTTAGAAACTTTTACGAATATGAAACGGTATTTTCATATATTTGGAAAAAAATAATAAAATCGGTCTGTTCAGTGTAATTTCCCTGTTCTAACTATGCTATCGGGTGCTTGTGTAAGAAACATTATTAAATCTTTCGTAGAACTTTTCGTAGCACTAATAGGTAGTTTAAATACTTACATAAAATAACCATTTTTTTTTAATTTTTATTTTTAAAGAACTGAAATAATAATAATTGGGTTGAGTACGTATTAAAACTATCATTTAATTATTTTTTATTATTATTATATAGCGATATGAAAAAATACCTAGTTCCAAAGTCTAAAAAAGAACCAACATTAAACTTTGTACTTACATTGCCTTCTAGTTATCTAGCATTCAAATGCATTAATTCACATCAAGAAAGTTAATTTAATAAGTATTTAATAGGTATTTATCATATAAATAAAAAATGGATAAATAAGATAAATTTAATTTTTCTTTAAGTATCTTTTCAGTATAACATTGTGAATGCAAAAAATTATCAAATATAATAAGTTCAATACTACTTTAAATAATACATTACCGGAAGAATTACGAACACGTTTTGCACAATTGCGCCATTAAAAGAAATTAACAACAACAAAAACGATTGAAAACGGATAGCTATTCTTTAATTGTCACATACCTAATATAGGTAGGTATATAAAACGAACACGAATACCGATTTCGATTTATGTTTTTTGTTTACCTACAACTATTTTGAAATAGGAATATGGGGTCATTGCACCAGCGAGGTCAGGTGCAATGCAAAATATTATTTTGTAAATCGTTTGTCTGTTTTGTTTGTGGTTATAGTATTGGAATAAATAAGTCTTTTATATATGTTTAAATGTATTTTTCTTATTTATTTATGTGTATTAACCTACGATGTTGTTAGCCTTAAGTCACCTTTCTATGAATAGAACACAGATATGAGTTTGTGTTTCTATGGATTTTTGGAAATATTTCTTTTTGTGACCCGACATGAAAAATAAATATATATCTACATAAGAGGTAGGTAGATAAGGTAGTTGTTTTTAATTAGGTACCTATTGTTAATAAATAATTATCCCGAAAGAAAGAAAAAGTTCTTGTTTCTTTCCATTTTAAAAATAAATGACCTTTTTTAAAAAATCTGGAACAGTGCCGCTTTACGGACAATATCTAACAAGATAAGATTTTTTTTATCAATTGTAAAAGAAAACTTTCTTGTAATTGTTAGCAAGGAATTTCCAGTCAATAATTAAAATGAGTCAATTCATCAGAAACGCTGAGGCATTTCTGCTTCACGTCATAAGCCCCTCGCTCGAGGAATGCCGACAGACTAGGTTCGCGACTCGCATCGCTTCGCAACAGGACAGTGGCCATTCGCAAACGACACGAACACAGCGACCGAAAGCCGCCAGCCGAATGAAAGCCCGCTGGCTATAGCTCCTCTGGCTAGCCTAGTTATGTCGCGCTGCGCCTCCTCGATTTTCTTCACATGAAACCGCGCCTTTACCCACACATTTGTGCAACCCACACAATCAAACCAATTGTAGATAGCCCGACAAAGGCGCGACGCGCTGTGCTGCGCTGATTTCTTCCTTCGCAACTTCGCGCCGCCCGCCATCACCCGGCAAAAAACCGGCAACTATCCCTAATATAATAAAAATTTTACCCTAAACATCCTAAATAACTTATTAGATGAATTTATCAGCTTTATTATAATGTTTTTGAGTACAAATATCGTAAAAGCACCGCGTATTTTCAGAGAAATAAAAACCGTGAATGGCATCGAACCGGCGAAGAGCGAAGGGTAAGGGGGGTCGGCGTGGCTACTCGCTCGTTAGGCCTCCGCGCGCGGTCGCCAGCTAGTCGGCTACTCGCGACCAGTTAGTCGTGTTCTCGGCGTTAAAAGAGACGCTCGCGCGGCAAAACTTCGCACCGGCCGGCTCCCGAATAATGTTTCAGTGTTTGACAAACTCAATCGGAGGTCTTGGAAGAAGCGTATTTAATAATTTACACTGTATATCCGACCGCATATTCTCAGTGAATGTTACGCAGTGTGTACGGAAAAAACTTTATCGAAGATTCTGAAGAATCTTGTGTTAAATTGTGTAATTCGTCGGCTTCGGTCGGATTGCGTTTTGCACAAACTTTTTGGTGAGTATTTTCGATCTTCTCATGTTCTTTTCATTATAAGGCTTAAATTTTGACTCCTAAATATTTCTATTGAGGGTAATCCTATAATAAGTACGACACCGGCCGGCGCGGGGCGTTGCCGGCAAAACTATACTATGTATGGGTTTAGGTACTTCAATATGAATCGGCGATAATTTTATATTCAATACAATTTTGCGGTGAAAGATTCTAAATAAAAAATATATTAGAATAAGCTTTATATAGATAGATGAGTTTATGATTTCACCAATGTCTAAAGTTAAGACTACCGAGAAAGTAGTATTTCTGATCTCGTATATAGGTAGGTATGTAGTGTCGTGCTTACGTTACAATTTTTACTATAGGACCGTTCGCTATAATTTTAATATTGTACAATTGATACAACTTGTAATCGATTAGTTGCAATAGTTGTTATTTGTTCTAAAAGTATGTATTATAAATTTTTATTCATTCAAACGATTGCAAATCTTGTCACGATCTCTTAGCTCTTTTTTATAAGGATTACTCATTAGCTAAAATTCTGTTCTTAAAATCATGAATTTATTATTAAGTAAGAGTGGTTTAAGTATTTTCCGGTCGAAATCTATCTTTAATTTACAAAAAAAAATAAAATTCATATTATAAATTTGTTTGTATATTTTAATAAGTATGTAAAAATATAATTTATATATTTATTAGATCGTATGAATAAACGTATTATTTTATGATTACCAGTAAATTGACAAAGTTTAATCCATAGAAATATCTATGAATCACGATAAAAGTCGTAAATATTAATTGAAAAAACTATTTATAGTTATAACTTATAAAAGAAGCTGACAAATGTGTCATCAAAAATTATGTCTTAAAAATAATTTATGTAAATGTGTTATTGACTTATGTGCACGGATCTGTTACAGTCATGAATAAAATTCTCTTTGGATTCGTTCGCGGGAAAACTGTCTCACAAAGTCGCTATCGTACGCTATCGTAGTAGTAAACAAGTTCGTTTCGCGCCATTTTATGTTTGTAAACAAAAACTGTTTTTGCCGATATATATTTGTAAACCTACTTTGGTGCACGTGAAATTCTGTGAAGGATGTGCGCACCCGCACCCAACCCCAGGTAGAAATTGCAAAAAAAAGGTGCGGGGGTTGTATAGGACAATGACTAATTGTTTCGAGACAAAAGTGGGATAGTACCCCAAGGCCGGTGGACTGTTTATAAAAGACCAAGATTTCGCATCCAGAGTTCAGTCTAGTTTCGGGCGTTCACTGAGGTGGACACTTCTCCCCTGGTGTCCCTTCATATTTCGCTATCGAGATTTGTTTGTAAATACAAAGGGGTCAATACCCCTTGTATTTATAACTTTCTAGTAGATTCATTTTATTATTCAAACACTAGTTTTTAGTTTTGTTTTTAAAAGTTTAGTTTGTTGGTGAATAGTTATCGGGCTTAGTGACACCAGTGTTTAGTAACAAGGTATTCATTACATCACTTTAATTCCTTTTAATACAAAACGTGAACTCACTTTGTTAAAATATATAAATTAACTTTTTTTTAAAAATCTGTATATAGCATTTAATTTATCTATTTATAAAAAAAAACTCCAATTTTTAATAATGTTTGTTTCTATTGTTACAGACGGTGTGCGTATTACCCATCGCGCGCATCGTCCGTGATAAGGGGGCCTGTGATATCGACGAGTTCGTCTTAGCTTTAAAGCTAGTTAGTCTTTAGGTTTAAATTAAATTAATGATGTCACCTGACTTCAATGAGGAATCACTATCTTATGAGTTGTGGGACCCAATGGAACAAGAACATTGGGAGGTGTCACAAACATCTGAGTTCTGGACTCAGATAAATGAAGAAGCGGGAGCATTCGAACTCGCACCGCCAGAGAACTTTTTGGCTTCAGTGCCAGAGACAGAAGAAGATTGGCGAATAATGGAGGAAATAGACGAGCTACACCCGCCCGTTGAGGATATAGTACACCATGATTGCATGTGGGCAGGCGATATATTATATCCTTCGAATACATTCGTACAAAATGACTACAGCGCGGTTCCGACAATACCGGGACAGAGTTTGCTTCGTCGGGATAATAATATGTCGCCTCCGCGACCGGAAACTCCGTCATCACTGGACGGCGACGAACCACCGCAGTTCCGTCACGCAGTAGACGTGGCTGGTACAGCTCTCCGTCTCCTGAGAGACTCCGCCGCAGTGGCAGCCGATCACTCTTACACATTGGCCCGTCAGCAATTCGACAATCTCGGCGTTCAGACACCATCAGATTCATGTGAATCAGGTTAGTTTACTTTTATTTTAGATCTATTTTAATAGTATTGTAAACTTTTGATGCCATAGGCTAACTTTGGATTATTATTAAGTTATTTAAGACTTCTCAAATTATTGAAATAAATCTACATTAATTACCATGCCGGACATCTAACTTCTCCATAATAATTTTAAAAATTATACCAAATATGTTGTACCATTCTTAAAACTAATCTAAAAAAAAGAAAGAAATTAAAATATACTCCTGTATACTAAATATAATGAAATCCTAGTTCTTTTAACAATTGAAAATGCAGTAAGGACTACTAAACCTTTAGTGTAATTTGTCCAACGGAATTGCTACCATTCTCTCAGAATAATATTGTAGTCTAAGTATCCGCGAGGAAGTTGAATTCTCCCGGCCGGAGTTCGCGAAAACGCAGGCGTCGTATTCGGAGAGCGCGGGAAACTGCGCGTATCGACCGCGTCCCCCGTCTCAACGCGTCTAGACGCACCCGTGTGGCTCCGCTCTTCCGGAACCTTCGCCCATTTGCGACCTTGAACGCCCCAACCTTCCTTAATGTCAAATTGCGCAACCTTTGCGCTGAAACTCATCTCGAGGGATTGACGTGTTTAATTAGAATACGAATTATTGTGGTATCCGCTCGCTTGTTAATCGCGTTGTGCGGTGGTGGGTCCGTCGGGTTCAATATAAGGACTCACCCGAGGTCGCCGGTACGTCGACCGAGACGTCCCGACCTTGATGCATCCTCTATATTGTACGAGTCGGCGTTTCCCGCTGCGTCCGATAGGGTAAATACCCATTTGCCCTATCAGACGCCAGTAAATAAATAATTTTCGGTCCCCTCAGATTGATTTCAATAGAATTCGTAACATATTTTATGTAACTACAAAATCTGGATGCCCGAGTGACCTTTGTAGGGACTCATCGTTACTAAATAGGTTACAATGTAATGATAATTACTCGTACTTAATGATAGTAATTCATGATCGATAAGGACAAGTAAGGTCTCGTGGAACAATACGTAACTCTTTAATAGCGACTGTTTGTTTACTGTTAGGTAACTTAACTATCGATAAGCTTTTGTTTATTCATAACATATTACCAAAGTTTTCTAAATAAAACATTTACATAATATAATAAACTACGCTATAAAAATGCTCAAGTTCTCAAGTGTACAGTTCTGTAGGCTGTCTAGCCTAGTCCGTTATACGAATGCATTGGAATGAAATGGAATTTCATTGAAGTGAGGCTGGCTCGCCGGCTAGACCGGTTTTCAAGTCGGTTGTCCCGAGTCTAGTTCAACCGGATGACAATTTGATGGACAGCATCGTCGATAGTCGTGTTTCGAAAATCAGATTGTACCATTTTAAGCTTAAATGTTAATAAGTTCTTATATCTTAATCTTAGACAATCTTATGAGATTTTACGGCTATCAAAAAGTAGTTAAATTAAAATGTCACGAATTATCGTAATCGATATTTTTTCCTGACATGCACTGTCACATCACTATTTTACTATATTCTCTGCGTTTTATGGCACTTTGTCGTAAAGCTTGTGTTCGTTCATAATTTCGTACGCTAGCAAAGGCGGTCGAAACGAACCTAATATTTTCGCGCTCATTTAGTTGCGCTGATAATGTCTATGATGTAGATTTCAAATTTTGAAATTCGAAATTATTATGTAAATTTAGTAGTCTATAACTTACGACAGCATAAAGAAAGCTTATAGTAAAAAAACGAAAATAGAATTATTCAATTTTATTTCAAATTGCATTGCAAATGTTTTAGCAATCTTTTTTAATATTTTTAATTGACTTCTTTAATTATTTTGTCCGTAAAGTCGGATGTTACAGTTTTCAAAATTTAATAATCAATTTCTTTTTACCTGTTCATCAAGTTCATATTTTTTTGCATCAAATTTCTTCTTTTAAAATTCCTTCATATAATTAGTGTTATAATTATTTGATAAAATAAATGAGGAACATTTAAGACATTGTAAATAATAGTTTACTCAATCTAGAGCACTGGTTTAGTTTTTGAATTGTTAGTTCCTAAAAGGGTAATTTAGGCCACCAAGATCCGGTTGGACCAGTCCTAAAAGTATGGTATCAATCAGAGAGCCAAGGCTGTGTGCCGGTTTCTAAAAAGCCATTCAGTTCAAATAGTGAACATTATAGATTTTTAGTGCGTACATATAATTTTCCTTCAATACCAAAGAACCTGTTTATTAAAAAAAAAACCGAATTCCATAGAAGTTGAGTAAGCGAAAGATTATGCATAGAAAATGCTTTAGACATATTAATTGTGCAGGCAATAGTTGGGCCTAATTAAAGGTTAATAATGCAGCGGTCGTGAAAAATAGTCTTCTCAATTACATTTAATAATTTATATTTAATCAATTAACATGGAATTGTCTAAATAATAAGAAATTGTAACACATACGTGATCTATAGTTTACATTCACTGCTAATTTAGCTGTTATGCATCCCCTATAGATGTATGAAAAACGTAATAGGAAGTTTAAATTTACAAAATTACCAAAATCGAAACCACCAGAGGCAAGTCATGGTTTAGTGTCTAAAATAGTTTCTTTCAATTGAAGTTTTTATCGAGTTACTAAGAGTAATAAAATGCTACGTGCGCGTAGTTAAAGCAATTTGCGCGGTTTTATACGATAGTTACCAAGTTGTAGTTGTGACCTGAATGTTCGTAGTTAGAGTTGCATGCGGTGCCGTACTGTTAGCACCACGGCCTACTTACATTAGGTAATATCTGATTAACTTGTACCTATGATTTATGGGCTATATATCCTTATCACTTTTAAGGTGCGTTCGCCTCGCGGAGACTTTACAGTTATGAATTTTTAACAGGCTACTTGTCTCTTTCTAAAATCGATGATAAACTCATTATTGCGTAAACTGGCTTCGGTCGTTATAACTTTTAAATTTCACTTGACAGGATCTTTGTCTGTATTTGATTTCATGACAGCAGTGTGTGACATATGGCGCCAACGGTCGCCATATTGTATTTTTTTATCGCGAAACTGATAAGTACGTGAAATCCGTAAAGATACTAAAAGAAATGCGCGTATATAGTGGAAACGGCCTTCGTGTTATCGCCATAGAAATATGCGCTTAGATATTTAAACAATCAGTAATTTCGCGCCATTTGCCTACTTACACTCGCGACCTTGGTCGGTTATCACTCCCGAATGTACATTAATAAAATGTGACACCTTAACATAATTTTTTTATTGTCTTATCACTGAACAAGCGGCCTCAGTAACAACTGATAAATGAACTTCGCAACAATAAATATAATTTGGCTTCTTGATCTCTTAATCGTTTAGGCGACTCATTTCTGTCGTATATACCAGTTTAATTAAATTAAATGATAATATATACTTGTGCAATAGCGAGTTATTTGCTGTTGTGTAATATTTTATTGGTCGACATAATTAAGTTATGATGAAATCGAATTATTCTATAATATGAAATTTTTATTATTAGCTACGATCTTCTTGTTTAAAGTCAAGCTTGATTTGGCATCGATTAGATAAATCCAAAAAGTGAAAGCTTATTCATCACCGGCAGTGAAGACGTTGGCGTTTATCCTCTTTATTAATATCGATAATCTATTAAATAGTACACAATATGCCCGTGTGCGTACCGTGTAGGCATGTGATCAAATCTTCTTATTAATGGCCAATAAAAAAATGTTACGTCACATCTTTTTGCGTTTGCCACGTCCGTGAACTTGCCAGCGAACCCGTCCAAGGTCAGCCGATGGTGCGAACGTCCAATCGATACACACAACCTGTAAATTAGAAGATTCTATTTTAGTAAACCAACCTAGAGCACCAACTCTCGAGTACATATCCCTACCATATGACCTACATTCAGTGGTTGCGTAATATATATGAAACAACACACCCATATGGTATCCGAATGGTATTAGAAAAGATTTTCTTTTAATTGATTGTTGGTGCTGAGCTATTTGTGTTAAAGTTTAGTTGGATAGAAAGTCTACTAGATGATCGTCGTTATTATACAGACTTGCTTTTTACAGAACTGGCACGTTGCATCCGACTAATTAGCATTGCCTCCAGTTATTTATGTTGAGATGTATACAGGCTGTTCTAATTATTTTTCGTGAAATCCCCATGAGAGATTATTCCGTTTTCTATGATTACTCGGGTGCATTAATTTGTATTTTTAAATAATCACATTTTAATGTTTTTTTTTTTACTATCAAATTAATAAGATTGCATTGTATGATATAATTTTAAATGTATCCAAACAAGTTAATGTGAATCACCCAGTAGAAAGTGAAACGAGTGCCAATTTATAAAATTTATATAGGTCAGCAGTGTGTTTCACGTAGAGCTAAAGCTTAACCACTTACTTATAATACGATAGAACATTATGATTATATGTTCTTATCAAATTACAATAGGATCAGAACCTACTACCGGAGGTTTTATCTGATAAAATAAAATATTATCAAATAACTTAGGTATATAAAATATTATCTGATAGTAAATTGGAAAAAGAATGGATACAATGGGGCTTAGCAGTATCAATTTAATGCTAATTTATTAGCATTTACATGGGTCAATCAAAGTTATAAGACGTAGCATTAATAAAATGGAAATCCAAGTTTTTCTGAGTATCTTTTTTAAGATTATTGTACCATTAAGAGCACGCTTTACACGATGCGATGGCGTGCGCCTAGCGCGCGTCACGATAATTTTTAATTATCGCACTCAAATGCCAGTGAACTTGGCCTCTTACTCGTCGCCAGCGAGGCGTAGCCAGTCCGTCTTACAGGTCATACTCAATGACACCATAGTAGACATTCCACTTTTTTAAAACTTTTCTACACCTGTCGCTGTAAAAACTCACAATGCTCTTGATCAACGGAAATAAAATGGAATTTTATAAAGCACACTATAGCGTAAGAAAATAATGTAAGCTTTAATTTTAGCCAACTTTCCGCCTGTCTATTTATCAGTTTGAATTCGCTCATCTTGTTATCATTGTTTTCGCTTTTGGATTGTAGTTGTGATTAATCTTAAGGAATATCTAAATGTGTTTTCAACTAAGTATACGATAGAATATAATATGATCGAAATCAACTTCGGAATTATAGACCCTATGCGAAGGCGAATGCGCACGCCCGGTGAGAGCTGATTTTTTCCTCGATACCGGTCTCTTGGACAGACAATAAAAAGCGGATTATCTCTGGTATCGTTTAAAATTGGAACGCTCGCGGCAGATAGCGATATAATAGATATGCACTAGACCGGATCTTGGCGGCGCACCGCGACAATAAGGCCCATATCGCTTACATGCAGAGCTTGAAACAAATACTCTTCACAGAGAATGTTAATCGCGTTGGCGCCAAGAGGAAATCGTCGCGTGTAAATCGACCCCGACAAACACGCCCTACCTACAGGGATAGTCTATATAAATTATATAATTAAAAATTTCTGAAACGTGTCGTGTGTCGGCAAAATAATCACTTAATTAGTTGATTAAATAAAAAAATGTGGTCTAGTGGCAGCCCTAGCTACGCATTGACACGTGAGACGCGTATTTGACTACAGGCGCCGATCCTCGAATTAGATCGACTCGCAAGTCGCAACTACGAACGCGTAACTATGCGGAAATCGTACAAAAAGAACGCGTTGGTGTATAAATTTACTGTCCCGCCTAAGCATAATGCGTCTGGTCAGCTGCGTAGTTTTTCTTAAAATGTGCGTAGTTGCTAAACTTATTTCCCGAGCGTCCCTGACTCGCATACCGTTTTGTGTCGAACAGCTGCCCACGTAACCTGTTCTATTTCTGTCTCAGCCCGTCTAGATGTTATAGGAAATTCTTGTCCTTGTTGGTTACGCGAATAGGTTGCATTCACTGTACGGACGAAACCTTTTATCACAGTGAACCACTGACATAATTATTCGTTGGTGTAACCGGATAGTGCGACCGGCCGCAAGCCGGCGGATTCCGCGAAATATGTATTACAGTGTAAACACGACGCGCGCAAACGTCCACATCCGCACTGTACAGTAGCAATGTGAATCCGAGACCTACCGGTTCATTCATAGGAATTACTGCCTTGATATGACTTCAATTCTCTTTGCTAATGGTAACTTAAATAGTATTTACGTACCTACTCATTTACACCATCTTTGGTTGCCTGTAACATCAGACTTGAATACTATTAACCTGCTCATTTGGGAGCCCTATGTCCTATGGCTTTGGCTCTAGAAAAAGCAGGAAGATCATAATAGTGAAACGCCCGTGTTGAGGCTGTCATGCTTGACGCCATACAACTCCGTACGTTTCTCACATTAATCTACTAAGATTTATTCAGATTGTACAACTAAGCGAGTTTTGCGTGGCCACAGCGTAACAGGTTCGCTTGATCATCAATATCATCTCTATCGTATTAGGTGGGGTGGGGGTGTCGATATCGTATCGTTCGATGCTCGCGTAACAGTTAATTTCGAATCAGCAGAGCTTTGTTAATCGGCAAGAGTGAACTATGAAAGCCGGAAAGCGTGTCCACCGGTTGATAATCCGAAGTCCATTGAGTGCGACCACTGCCGCAGCGCGACGCGCATGCGCTCTTGTTTTGGCGCGAATGGCGCGCCGTGACGTCAGGCGTCTGGATCGATGGCGGCAGACGCTGCGGTAGTACGATGGGGTCGACGCCCTCCCCCCTTCCGTGTTCGCCCACCCCTTCCCGCGCACCTGACTACTGCAGTCGCATCTCCTCCCTGCTAAATCTACTAATCCTGTAGTTGCGTATAGGATGCGGCATGGCAATTAATACTACGGTTTATGGCGCGTAATGTAACTTCTATTGAATGAAAAATATTAAATATTATATATTCTTATTGTTATGATATGGAATAGATTTTATAATGTCTTCTCTATTGTTACAGAGGAAGAAATCGATGTAGTATCAGTTGGAACATCGCAGCAAATGTTCGCAAGCCCGCACGTACGCACAGATGCATTGCCACGGGTGCCATCTGCTCAGGAGCGCCAACATATTCAGCGTACTGTAGCTTCGGCCATAGATCCTTGTTCACCGCAGCCTGTGGCCAGAAAACGTCTCACTCCGCCTACTAATGTTAGTTCTTCTGGACACCGTCGCCGCGCTCGGGGTCCAGGTCGCCGTGGACGCCGGTCCAACACTGACACGGAATCGGAAGGCGAGGCTCCAGATATCGAGCGACGCTCTATCCATAATGACATGGAGCGCCTTCGCCGTATTGGTTTGAAAAACTTGTTTGATGAGCTCAAAAAACAGATCCCAGCCACCAGAGACAAAGAACGAGCTCCCAAAGTCGTGATCCTCCGAGAGGCGGCCGCTTTGTGTCGCAAAATGCGTGATGAGGATTCGCAGAGAGAGGTTCTTAAAAAACAACAAGCCAAGTTGATCACTAAATTGAAAAAGCTTCGAACGATGTTATCCACACGCTACCGTTCGTATTGAGCGCTAGACGAAAAGTTCAGTTGGTAATTGTTAAGTTCCTGCAAAGGAATGATTGGAGTTTACACGTGACACTCGAGCATTGTTTAGATATATTGTCGCTTATGAACGTACTAATGATCGTTCAAATTTTCATATTGTGGTCTCGTACCTTTGCTCTTTTACCTCCAGGACCGTATTCATACGCACTGAACTATCGAGGGTGGAATCCTAAATATTGTTGAAATTATTAAATTTTATTGAAAATACAGCTTTTCCGGTTTACTCTGCTTCTGCGGAAAGTACAGTAATAAATATAGTCGAGACGCATTCTGCTAGTTAGTTTTGCTCAAACGATATTTTGCAGTGCCAAAGTGAGCCATAAAGCTGTTGTTACATACCTCCTAGTTCGTCAGTAAAGTATCTTAATATTTACAGACTGCAACGTGAATAACACTAGACTGGTTATATCTTTGAAATGTTTTATCACTAAAGTTTACAGAGTTCACATGGTTACAAAGCAAATTTACTCCATGTTAATTAATATGAAAGTAATAATTGTGACTTCTATTGTTTGAATATGAATATTGAAAGTTTTATACCTGGTCATTATTATTCTCGAGATGTAATTCGTCACGTTTTAGTTTAAGAATTAACATGCACGTTCAACCGCGCGTTTTGTCGGGGAGTATTCGATGCTGAGTCGGAGATGGAACATATTAGATTTTTTTTTCAAAACAACTGATACGAATGGAGCAGAATGAAATGGTTTAATTCATAACGCAGCCGTTCTTGAATAAATATGAAATAAATGTCATTAAAACGAACAGTACTCTTTTGGTACTCTATTCCGTCTTTTTTTAATCAACCTATATATTTTTGCTCGATTTCTAATTTAATTTACATTTCAATATTTTCATTTCTTGTGACTCATTCGTATGGTTTTTTTGTGAAATAAACTAGGAATAGTATAGTCGGTGAATCGAGGGTTACCAAAATATGCGATTGAAACGTGAAATGTATGATTGGATAAGGACTTGAGTTTGTCGGTGTATTTAGTGGATACAAATTGGATAGATGTGAGCAGACGGGAAAACGTCGGCAGAGGTGGATGCCGGCAGCGGTGGGAAGTTAGGACGATGTCAGGCCATTTAATATGTTTCGGCCCGATCCCTAGAATATTTTCGTCCCGTATGTCTCTTCGGATAGAGTTGGGATGTTGATATTAAAATTAAAACTTATAGTTTAGGTTAGATCGCTTACGGTTTTTTTGTAGTGTTTTGTTACTTGTATGTAGTTAATATACTTTTTTAATGTTTTTTACGTTTTAGTCACGCGATTAACAGCGAAACTATATTTTAATATTAACGTGGAATTGTTACTATTGGACCATTTTTGATGCGATAAAATTACATATAATTAATATTGCACCAACTGTTTTTTATGTATGAAATATATCATTTGATTAATGTCACTGCTAATCGTGTATAAATGTAGAACCCGTCGCACTTCGAGCCGTAGCTCACTATGCGTCTGTGCCGATATCTCGGTTACCCTGGTCGACGACGTGCGCTCGCGTGCGACCTATGTGCGCTCGTCTCATTGGTCAATAAAACAATGACCGACCAATGAAAGCGAGTCACAGTAGTCATCCGCATCCCGCACGCGGATGTTATCGACCGGTGTAAATGAGCTATTATTGCAGTCGCTCGGTGTGTGAAAGGTCTGATTGCGATCGCGTCCATTCATTCATTAAAGAAAAGCAATCAGCACGTAAATAATACTTGATAATTATTATTATTGGCACTTCCACAATAGTGCGCTTAATACATCCAATAACTTAATTCATTCTAATTTACGTTGCATAGTGTTTATTGTTAAATTTGAAATACATTCGCCTTATAAAATATGCACGCAATTAACGAAGTGATTACTTGTTTGAACCACACGATATTATAATAAATAAAAAATATTGTCCAATTGACTTACCTACAGTGAATACAAATTCAATCTCAGCGAATAGACTGTGTATTTTGATAATAACATCAGAATCTATGATTTCATGTTAAGTCCAAATGGATTTTATTGATAAATATAACCAAGATATAGTTCCTCATAGTACCTACTAATAGTAAATTGTGCATTTTCTTTATGATATTTTTATGGCAGTAAGTTTAAGAATTGTACTCATATAGCTAATGAGTAAACGAGAAATTAAGGAACCTGCTCAGAAAGATAAAAGAATCGATTTTTTTTTCTTTCAGTGATCATTTCATTTGATGGAGAAAGCTTTTTTATAGATTTTTTTATTTAGCTGTTCAGGTTTTAAATAGAGGTTGATGTTTTATCAAGCACATGGTCAACGATATTGTACGTTCGAAGGCTTTAATTGTGTGCGGAATGTGCCTTGCTATGTACATATACATACATACATTATATATCTAAATATATAATAGGTTTATACTCGAATTAGTTGCAAGAAATATTTTTCTGTGAGATATTACATTACTGTAGGTATAAATAAGTTAGGGTTGTTCTAAGTACTGTTTACACGAAGTCTATAGTGATCGAGTTAAAGGTTCGCAGTTTATTCTTCCACTAGACGTAAATTGTATATAATATACTAGGGTATATAGTCGTAGATAAAAATTCATTTTTGTAAACGAGTTTTTTTTTCTAGTACTTGTTTAGTTTTTTTTTTCTAACTAGAGTTACGAGTTCTCGAATGTTGTACCTGCATTTAATATTTTTTTTTATTAATCTTAGCTTGACATAAATAATAAAGATAATAATGATTTAGTTATCCGAAAGTTAAATTGTCTATCGGTGATATTATGACCTTGCATGTGAGAAGTTAGATTACATTTTTAGGAAAAAAAAAGTCAATAGTTAAAGATTTATTATTAAGCGACGCAAGCTTTATCGATAGTTAGACAGATCATGGTAAAAAATGGTATCGTCGGAATATTAAAAAATCAATGCACTATTGTGACAAGGCACATTTCCACCACTGCCAAAAATAGGAGCGTGAGATGAAAAAAAACTTTTTTTTTACTAAGCGTTTGATTTGTAAAATTTATAATTAAGGTTGGTATACATATAAGTCATGTTATAGCTGTTAATTTTTATTACATTTCCTATGGGTAGCCATTACTAAGGAGCAACACCTGACAGCCGTCGGTCCTCGGACGATTGGGACCATTCGAAATTGTTGGCTATTTGATTATAAAGTTCGTTTGGTTTTGGAAGAGTATATGTATTGGGTGGCCGACGGCTGTTTTCCAGCGCCGTTACAGAGAGTGCAAGGCGCAACGAATTCCGCCTAATCTAAATGTTGCACTTTGCAATCTTTGAAGCGACGCTTTTGTAGCAGTGGAATGTGTATTGTGTACCTACTGTACTTATAATTTAACTGTTTAATTTTTGTCTGATAACTATAATTGTATGGAGAGAAAAACATTTTGTTTTTGGGATTTTGTTCCTTAATAATTATCTGTACCGAAAGTTAAGATAATCAATAAAATATGGTAATAAATGAAAAGACCGCACCGAAATAGGGTTAGGAAACGTTTGGCTTTGGATTTTTTTTATATATAGAAATAATGTTTCGATGTAATTTGAAGTGTTGACTCGTGTATTGTTAGACTGATTTATTGTACCTACCGAGAGTGGTATTGTACTAGCGTGTAATGTTTTGTTTAACCCTGTTAGGTGTGGTCGAAAAAAAAATAAACACAATCTTTTTATTTCACGTCGATTTCCTGTAACATTTTCCTTCCCTTTAAAATAATAAGAATAATAAACAGAATAAAGAAAATAATAAATAGAGAATTAACAATATCCATAGAAATATAGCACAATATAAATAAAAACAATCCTTTTTTTTATTGAGAAATAATGACACTTAATAATGATATTCTTGTTCTTTTGCGATACCGCCTGGATAGTGCTGGATAAAAACTGAATTAAATATTTATAAAAAATATACAACCTACGAAAAAGACGGTAGGTAATATTGTAATTAAAAAGTGCTTGAACGCTGTTCTGTTATATTATAACACTAAATTGATATACAAAATCAAAAACAGGGTAGATCGAATTTTTTAAAGCAAACGATGTTTGTGTTAGTACAATTTCTCGCTTTTGAAAAATTGGCATATCATTAATATTGCTTTTGTGTTATTGGAGTCTTAATAGTTTGGGTATCATAATCGTCGAGAGTCTAGTTAATATTAAAAAACACTTCAAATAGAACTTGTGGCTTCAAAAAAGTTATGCTTATGATACTGTTAAATTACATATTTAATTTAACAGTATCATAAGCATAACTTTTTTGACCACCAGTGTTTATCATTCCTCTTTAGTCCTGAGGTTGTAATTCGATCAACTTACACTTATATACTTATTTATTCTATGCTATGAAAAAGGATTGATACTACCTACAATCCTTTTTCATGATTTAGTACATTGAGTATATCACTCTGAATAATGCAGTGTACTCGAATCCACGTCAGGTTACCACTACATGTTAATTCTTTCCATTTGATTTTAAACTATCTATAAAACATGAAGGTTTAAAATCAATCGATCAGTATAACTTGATATGCTATTGACTGTACATACAAAACTAGTTACAAACACAAAATATCTACCTAACGGAATGGGACTTACAGAATATTGGAACTAATTAAATGACTTAATATTCCACAAAATATGATTGCGTATAAAGGAACGTTGTAAACTATCAAACTTCATAAACGTCAAAGGAACAAAACAAAAGTGAAGTTCGCGCGAGTAGCCTGGATGATGGCTCTTCGGTCTATTATGTCTTCAAAGATACCAATGGTTGTGATTTTGGGTGCTACAGGCACAGGGAAAACTAAATTAGGTGTGGAACTGGCTCAACGATTCGAGACAGAAATTATAAGTGCTGATTCTATGCAGGTAAGGCAAGTGTGTTTTGAAACATAACCTCAAAAATTATAGAATTAAAGTAAATAAAGCACTGCTACAAACTTAAGTTTAGGGTAAACACGACAGAACAGTGTTATAATTATAATAGTAATAATCGTCAAGTATTTATGTATTAAAAATTTTGCAATAGTTGATTTTCTACTATGACAAATTTAATATTTAGTACTAAAACGAAAAGTTTTGAAGTAGGATAAGTAGTAAAACCAGGTCAATTTGCTGTTCTTTTGATATGGCTCTTTAATAACAAATATATAAACCTGGTTTAATGTGCATTAATATAAATAATATAATAATAATATTTTCTTTTTGATTAATCTTTAAATACTGCGCACACGTAGCAGAAGCGACAAGTAAGTACAATATTATGAAGTAAATGATGAAATGCTGACTGATATTAGAACCGAATTAACCTATTAACACTACACTAGCCATATATAAATAGGAACTCGTAGGCGCAACCCCCTAACTTGAAGTGCCTCATAAATGTGTTTTACTAAAAATGAAAATTCACGTTATCCGATAATGATATAACTTTTTGAATATTTTGGTTCGTGAACGAATGTTGTTTATATATCCTGAAATTTTGCGATCATGCTTTTATTTAGTCAAATTTAATATAACTGTGAAAACAGCTTTCACTTAGGCGGTCTCAGTACTAGACTGGTAGAAGCGTAATATTATTTTACTAAAGTAAATGTATTTATCTTAAAAACTTAAAAATATTTCCTCATTTTTAATAAAATATTATTAACTGATTTTTCATTCCTTGTTATAAGATAATCAGCCAGTTGCACAAACCTCCTTTCATCGAAATGAAAATATCTTTATTCAAGTAGGCTATTATAAGCACTTTTGAATCGTCCAAAATAATTACAAGCACTTTTGAATCATCCAAAATAATTTTTTTTAGCCCTACCACTTGTTCAGGACGTCTTTTAGCTGACAAGAGGAACAAGCGAAAGAAACTTACCAGCTCTTTATCATAAGTGACATTTACATAAATCATGTCATTACCAAAATAATATGTATTATCACAATATTAAATACAACTTTCAAAGTCTGCAGGACATAGGTTGAACATATAATTAGTCTTTATAGTACAAAGCGAAGTCTATTAATTCCATTCATTGCGATCCTTAAAATAATCATCAACTTTATAATAGCCTTTACTCATAAGTATGTTCTTTACATGAATTTTAAATTTATTTATGGGTAGGTCAACTACATTTTGTGGAACTTTATTGTACCTAGCAATGCATTTACCCAGAAATGATCCTCTGGTTTTCTGAAGTCTGAAGCTTGGAATGGCAAGTTTATTTTTATTAGTTTAAAGCAACATTTCCTATACAAATATGATATTCATTAGTGTTTAAAGGCATCATTAAACCTTAATTGATGTTTGCATAACTGACAGAATATTAATCACTTTTATTTTCATCAACTTGTGTCATCTTTCTACCCTAGACTCAGTTCATATTTTCCCTTCATTATCCAATTTTTAATTAAAATTATTTATTGGCAGTAATATCTTTTAAATTTATTTATCCTGTCTCATTTCTTTGATTTTAGTTTCATTTATTAACATTACACTATATAAGGCCAAAGATAAAATTTTTCAGTTAAAGTTGTTTCTTATTTTCAATTTCTTAGATTAGATATTAACATAAAGTTTGTTGCATTTTATAGTTTTCTATATTCTTTCTGGTTGATTGGAAGTTAGGTAATGCTTGTTTGTTATTAAATCCGAGATTTGTTTTTAGTTTTGGGAAAGTAAACATAATTGCTTGCAGACATTTATTTAAATATTATTTATTTAACACTTCATGCAAAAGTCACCTAATCATAGTCGGACTTAACCACACCAGCCCTTTTACGTCCCCACTGCAGGGGCTCAGGCCTTCCTTATGGATGGTTAAGGAGGATAGGCCATGACCCTCCACGCTGGCCCAATGCGGATTGGAGGGTATTAACGACTACAAATGCAGCCTGGACCAACGGCTTAACGTGCCTTCTGAAGCACGAAGTAGCTCGAGGTAATAATTTTTTGGTCACCCATCCCGTGACCGACCCTAGCGAAAGTTGCTTAACGGCTATGATCGCGGGCCGCGGCGTTTATCCACTACGCCACCGAGCTACAGTCGGACTTAACGGCGTGGGCATTTTCTACCAGTCAACCGGATGGGTGATTTGGAGATTTATTTATTTATAACAAGGTACACCAACAGCAAAACACATACACCATTCACAACATCCAAATAATTCACAAAAGGTTCAACTTCAATGCGCTCGCCAATTACAGGTATACACAGCATTTACCATAACAATACAATTATTAAGAAAATAAAATAAAATCAATGACACTTAACTGAATTACAGAAATTATATTTTATACAGAGTGTGAACTGACTGGCTGAAAGTAATTGTTTAGTTTTTTCCTGAAAATAGCAGGGGAATCATTGATATAGATATAATAGACATATAAGGTAGTAGACATTATGGTTAAGTTTGGTATGATACAGTCATGATATTTTCAATTACTAATCCAAGATTGTAATCCTATTAATATTATATTATAAATCTGAAAGTTTCTTTGTTTGGATGTTTGGCCGTCAATCATGCCGAAACTATTGAACGGATTTTGATGATATTTGATATACAGATAGGGTATTAGCTGATTTAGATAATAGGATACTTTTTATCCCACTCAACATTACCCTAGGGACCATGCGGGCGAAACCGCTGGCGAAAGCTAGTAAATAATAAATATTTAACTATGTCACAAACATTGCACAGATCTCAAATAAATAGCTAAGGCACTTACAGCTAAGACACAGATATGAACATTATTTAATACATTTGTATAACTGTATAACTGTACCCTTAAGTAGTAAGTTATAACATTATTATGTCATCCTTTTGTCGGGAGTGGAGGCCTGATGACCTTTAATACAGGTATTCTTCTGAATATCTAACTTAGGCATCAGTCTCACACCAGAATCTTAAGAACAACTGTGTTTGTAACTTACTAGTATGTAAAACATTCTGTGTGATGAGAAATAAATTTTTATTATTTATTATTAATTTATTGACAAAACGGGGAATAGAACCGTCAGAAATAGAGACACATCAGGCGTGCGAATGTGTTGTCTCCCATCCCTGGATGGGTGTACCGCGCCTCCGCCGGCGTCATAGGAACTGCTGCCTGACTGAACTATGATCGCTTTTATCTCTTGCAGAGGAAAGAATCTCACCCAAGAAGGTCACGTTGGTAGGGTAAGGTATACCGGTTATACCGCAGCGGGCTTTATCGGGTTGACCAGGCACACCTTGACATCGCCTCCTCGGAGCTCCTAGTGGCTGTAAGACCCCGATTTGAGGCATAAGGAACATTTTCCCTACACCAAAAAGCCTTCGAAACACTGGCGTTCGCCAAATTATAATCAAATTCTACATAATTTGGAAAACTAATATATTTATTAATTAGCAAATGTATCGTCATAAATGAAAGAAAATTGATGGATTTGCAGGTGCATACTTGTTACAGCAGCGGCATAGCAGTACACATCCATAAATGAAACAACTTTTAAACGATTTCATTTTCCTTTATTGACGTTTCGAAGCCTTTGTAGGTACCCGTGTTCACATAAGACTAAGGTGTCGATTCTCATTTAAAGATAGTGCGCGTTAAAATATAAGAAATCAATAAGCACACATCCATTTCACGAAGGGCGTTTCTACAGTAATAT